TTTATTTTTAATTTTATTTGTCGCGCTGCTGATGACGTCACGTACGCGCTTTCGTCGGGCGCGCTTTAGTCTACTGCAGTTTTGGCGTGCCACGGGCCTAGAAGACCTCCAAGGTCCCTTCCAACTCTCCTCTTCCGTATCAGAAGCTGATAATTTGTCCAAGAGTGGTTTAAAAGGGCAGAAAACGGTCTCCTTTGGCAGAGGGGAGAAAAATGAAGGAAGCAAAAATGAAATTGGGGTAGAAAGGCTGAGTTCCACCCTGAGTTTGTTATTCCGGCATTATCATAATCACAGGCCTCCTCAGGCATTTTGCTCTCACACGAGCCTTTCTCAACTCGTAGTCCAGCCACGGGGACATCCCCACCAAGTGTTTTCATGCAAGGAGAGAAAGAATGGTGTTTTTTTTTCATTTTTCCACCTTACTTGAGGCATTTGTGACTGTCTTTCAGAGAGGGGCAAAATTTGGAAGGAAACTCTTAGTGTTTTTTTTTCCCACTCACGCTTACAAAGGAGAAGAAGCTTCAGCTCTGAGGAAGCCCCAACAGCCTCCCTGACCTCTAGCTCAGTGGACCCAACCTTTGGGGCACCAGGGACCGGTTCCGTGGAGAGAGGTTTTTCTGTGGACCAAACATGAGGTTTTGGGTGCTGCCTGCATCCCTCGGATGAGGCTTTGCTTGTTTGCGTGGCTCGGTTGCTGGCATGCAGCGGACTGGTCCTGGTCCCGGTCCTGGTCCACGGACCGGGGTGGTGGTGGTGGTGGTTGGGGACCCCTGACCTCTAGGTAGCACTTAGGAAAGCAACACAGTGGCGTGGGGATGAGTGCGCATCCTCTTGTGGCCCGACGGTGGCGCCCAAGTACACACAATGGAGGTGGCAGACTTGAGCGGCTGATGGTTGCAGCCTGGAGGATGGGAAAGAAGTTAGGATCATCACGGGCAGTTGCCGTTTCTTAGTTTTGAATGGGAAAATGAATAGCCAGAAGGCTGTTCTTAACCTTTGCTCCGCATGTAATTAATCTCAGTTGGGATTATTGCAGGTAACTTTCCTTTCATAAGACGAGATTGAAAATGCTGGTAACCAAGTCTGGGGAATCTTTCAATTCAATTCAGAATAGAGTTGGAAGGGACCTTGGAGGTCTTCTAGCCCAACCCCTGCTCAAGCAGGAGACCGTATATCATTTCAGACAAAGGGTCTCCTTAAAAACCTCCAGTGCTGGAGCACCCACAACTTCTGGAGGGAAGCTGTTCCACTGGTTAATCTGACTGTCAGAAAATTCCCCCTTGATTCCACGTTGCTTCTCTCCTTGTTTCTTGTCTTATCCTCTGGTGCTTTGGGGAAGAGGTTGACCCCCCTCTTCTTTGGGGCAGCCTAGGTCTGGGATCCCCCCCAACATGTTGGACTAGTAAAATGCAATTAGACAATTAAAAAAAATTGCATTTACTGAATTCCCACCTTCTCCAATGGTTGATACTGGTGTGCCGCTTTATTTATTTATTTTGCATGGTGTAATAGAACACTACATTACTGCATAAAAACTCACAATAGCAGCATATAAAATGTGTATCAAAACATAAAACATCAGTGCAGTGAACCATTTCAAAAGCCGACAGCCCGAGTGATGAAAAAAATTAAATGAAGTATGAGCAGTTACTGGGGTGGCCGAACCTAGGACCGGCTATCTAGATTGTTTAGCCATTGGGCAGCACTGCCCTCGAGATGATGTATTTTATGCAAGGATCCAGGGAGCTGTTGTGCTGGTATCATTAAAACTTCCAGACTAAAGGAAATAATGAAGGATACATCGAAGACTTTATGGTTCGGCATGCTCAGGTATTGTCCTAACCTATTGTGTGAACCTGGCCATCAACTTAAACCATAATGTAGTTATTTATTTCATGTGGCATATTAAGTGACCCCCTTCTCTCTCCCATAGACTTTTTTTTTCTAAATTGGAATTGGAAAGTTTATTTATAGGCCGCCCTTTTCCCTGGGGGGACTCAGGGCGGCTTACAATTCAACGAAATTGTAAAGAAGTCAACCTGACTTCAGAAACATGCATTTCCTTTGTTCCCCAAGCGTGTAGCCATCCTCTGGATCAGACAGAATCAAAGGATCACTCCTTCGCTCCAAATGAGGGGAATGTCAGAGAAACCTGTACGTTCAGAGCAGCTTTTATTGAGAAGTGGATCAGAAAAATGGAGGATTGTCCCCTTTGCTTAGTTATTATATTCATATATCCATCTTTCCTCCCAATGCCGAGGTTGACCTGCACAGCCCTCCTTCCTCCAGTCACCCTCAGTAATAATGTCACGAGGGAGGCTAAGGGATGGACAAAAGTCATCCAGGCAGTCATCCTGGGAAAACCGTCCCTGGCTGTAACCCCCAGTTTGGCCTCTACATCATTCTGCCTCTCTTAAGTGCCCGATAATGTTGATGATGTCATCCGCTCAGCCGTGTCCGACTCTTGGCGATTCTCTGGCCCCGAGGGGTCTCTTCACCTCTCCCCTTCTTCTGCTGCTCCTTTGAGTCTTTCCATGCTCTGGTTGGGGTCAGCTTTGAAGGTGTCCAGCCACCGGGTTCTTTGGTGGCCTGGTTTCCTTTTACCGCTCCCTCTTCCCAACCTAACTGTTTTCTCCAGTGAATTCCCCCGCACGACATGGGCAAAGGAAGCGAGACGCAGTTTCGGGATTTTGCCTTCCCGGGACATGCCTGGTGTTACTGGCCCCAGGACATGTCACCTCGCAAGTGAGACGGGTCCTAACTTTCTACCTCCACAGCAGCCAGGTGTAGCTTTTTTCCAGCCTTTTGCAGGAAGGGGGGAATTCACCACCTGTGGTTTTCTCAGGGAGACATCGGCGGAGGCCTTTCTACCTGCAGAGAGGAGTGACTGGCGGGAGAAAACCAAGGCGGCGCTTTCAGAAGTGGGGCAGAAAGAACAGCAGATCAAAGCGAAGAAGCAGAGCAAATCTGGCGCCAATCAGGGTGAAAAAAAGCTAAGTAGGTTTCATGAAAACACAAAGCAAAACACGCAGTGTGACAGACTTCTGCTGGCAGGGAAAAGGGGCTGTGTGAGTGCGGCTTCGTTGGCCAGAGTTTTGTGGGCGTGGATGGAAGTCTGGCCAGGGAAAGAGAGCAGAGAGGGCAAAATCGACATCTATGTTATTTCCAGGGCTTCAAAACTAGGCTCCCCGTTTCCTCTTCCAGTCCAACAGCGCTCTTATTGCTCTCTCACATCACTCTTCTGAGAGTGGGAGAGAGAGAGAGAGGGAAAACACACACACACAAGGCAAAATACGTGTTTTTCTTTGTCTCCTGGCAGATGAGAAAGCGGCAGCAAACAATGTAGGGTGTAAAGAAAGCCGGAAAGGAGAGCCCAAGAAAGCAGCTCAAGGCGACGCCCAAGACGTCACTGACCCAGAGGAAGCGCCAGAAGAGGAGGAGGAGGAGGAGGAGGAGGAGGATGGAGGAAGTGGCAGTGGCGGCCGTGAGCTGAACTCTGCCTCTGTTCCAGGAGGACTTCAGGGAGGGGGAGGGTGGGCAAAGGGGAAGGGGTTGGGCAGATGCCACCAGTGACGCCTGGTAGCCAGGCTGGGTTTCAGCTCTGTAGAGAATGGGAGGGAGTTCCAGGGGTGCCTGTTGCTGGAGTAGATCCAGACACCTGCGATCCCAGGGAGAGAGTCGATTCCTGGGTGGCTCCACAAACTGAACTCACTGAGCCACGGTTTCCAGGAGGGACTGGATTCAAACCGGTCCGTTGCTCATTAACAGAAATTCTTGCTCTGCCTGACCTCTTGGGCTGGGTCCTTGGTGGTTAAGTAGCCTTCCTGTCCTCTGTTGCAAACACTGGGATGGTTTGAAAAGTACCACACGCCCAATAAATAAGCCCATAGATTGGGGGGGGGGGTTTCTGCACCCTCAGTAAGTTAGCTGGAGGGTCAGCCCACCACCTCCTAAGGTGTCCTCTGTGCTTGAAGTTGCCCGTATTGGAGGCTGGCTTGAAGGTGCTCTGGAGGGCCTGGGGAATACAAACAGTGGCAGCATAGAAAGGACCATGGCATAATTTAATTAAAGAAGCTAATGCCATGCCAGGAAGGAAAGGAAAAGAGGGAGGGAGAGAAGGAAGGGAAAGGAAGGGAGGGAGGAAGAAAGGAAAGGAGAAAAGGAAGGGAGGGAGGGAGGAAGAAAGGGAAAGAAGGAGGGAGGGAGGGAGGGAGGGAGAGGAAGGTGGGCATGAAAGGAGTGGAGGGAACTGGAGTAAAAGTAGAACCACAAGGAGAGAAACTATAACTTCTCTTTGAAAAGAGATAAGACAATTACAGTAATTAATGTCTCCACAGAAGGAATGAAAGTGGAAAGAAGAGAAAGCTGCTCAGAAAGAGTGAAAGTTATTATCTTGTCAGAGAGAGGAGGGTGGGGAGCCTGAGTAATAGGAAGCATAAAAAGGAGGCCTCGCATAGGATAATTATGTGACAGAACCTCCAACTGAGAAAAAAAATAGATGCATATAAATAAAGTAACCTACAAAGATGAGGAAGAGGAAGAGGGCAGGTGATGCTTACAGAGAAGGGAAAAAATTGGGTTGCAGGTGGTGAAAGAGAGCCGAGGGATGAGGACCATCTCATCTGACCTCCTGCCCCGGGGCAGGAATCTTCTTATTGCAACATCCCTGACAGGTGGCCGTCCAGCCCCAATTCCAGCAAAGGGGGGTTTTCTTCCCAGGGTTGAACAGCTGCCTGGCACATCCATTTCTTTTCGGATTATGGCCGACCCGTTTCCTGACCCTCTTCTGGCCCTAGGCTGCTGTACCGCTTGGGTCCAGTGTTCTTACCCCAGCTGTGAGAAGTGGCGGAGGCTCAGCAGCGATGTGGATCCGTCAGCCCTGCCCGAGGACTGGTCCTGCAGCCAGAATCCAGGTAGAGGAGGAGAAATGACAAGCCTCTGGGTGGGGCTGGTGGACCAGGAGGGGCCCCGGGGGGGCGGGGGGGGGAGGCTTCCTTTCTTTCAACTAAGTGAAAACATTTTTTTCGGCTGAGTATCTCTGATCGTGGACAAGCGGGAAACTCGCCTCCGGAGGTTGTGGGTGGAGGTTTTCAAGAAGAGATTGGACAACCATTTGTCCAGAATGGTTTAGGGCTGTGATGGCGAACCTTTGTGCCAGAGGTGGCATGCGGAGCCCTCTCTGTGGGAATGCATGCCAGTCTTCAGATGTGCCGGAGCGCCAGAGGCCAGCTGGCTGGTGTGCATGCGTGTGCTGGCCCCCTGGTCTTCGGTTTTTCGGCGTGCACATGTGCAC